AAATGCCCTCCCAGACACATACAGGCTTCTACCACCCCCACCAAGTCTCCAGACTCTTCCCCTGACCCCTGCAATAGCATGTAGACTACAGCAGTATGTCCTCAGGGCTGGCTGTGACCCCCTGCAGATGTCAGAGGTGGGTGCCGTTACCCCCAGAACCACAGAGGGTGAACTGGGTTGGAAACAGGGCCATGGTTCACAATCCGACTTCAGGTGAGGTCCTTCTGCAGTGTGCTGGGCCCCTATGCCACACAGGTGGGCGTCTTTTCCCCAAGGGGCACATTCAGACCCAGACGAGGGGAGAATGCCACCGAGAAGCCCAAGCAGGTCAAGGAGCAGAAGTTAGTGGACACAGATAGACCTCCCGCCCAGGCCTCCGAAGGAAGGAGCCCGGCTTCCCAAATCTCCACTCTGGAAGCCGGGCCCCCGGGACTGAGTCACCAACCTCCCTGGTCTGAGCCACTGAGTTGGTGGCACTGTGTTCTGGCAGCCCCAGGAAACCCAGGCAGTGTTACCCTCATCTGAGGCAGGTGAGTCGTGCTCTGGAAGATGGGTCACGAGAAGTCACCCAAGGTGACAAAAAGCAGAGAGGACCAGACAGGGAGGATGACAGGGCCTAACACTTGATATGAGAGCCCCAAAGGAGAGGAGAGTGAACGTGGGACAGAAGACGCAGCACTTGGCCCCCAACTCGGCAGCGTCCTCACAGGAGTCCCTGCCCCAATGTGCAAAAACTACTCCTAAATGAAAGCACAGTGAATATGGAGACAAGGAATCCTAGAGAAAGAAGAAAAATGAGCAAAACTCAAGGACTCATCCCGCAGGATCCGGGCTCCCTTCTCCCCAAGTACCCATGAGTTCCTACCTTTTTACACCTGCTCTCCGGAGCGAGGACATGTCCGAACCTACACAACTGGCCCCTGACTCTTTCAGTGGCATGTCCGCAGATTCCCATGATCAAACCACCCTCAAAACCTGACATTCCCTCTGTAACCGACAGCCACTTTCACCTCCAGTCTGCACAGGAGGAGAGGGCTTCCCTGAATGTTGGGGTCTGGGGGCGTCCCTGTGGGCTTCCACTTTGGGCTCCTCCACCAACTGGGAAAAGCAGGGAGGAGTACAATGTGGGCTTCCCACACCCTCCAGCCTGTTCGCTTTCCCCATAGTTCAGCTCAGCAGCAGATGAGGCCTGGGCCGTGACCCTTGATTTGCCTGGCACTTCTCAGTATCTCTGAGGTCGGGGGACTGTCTCCCGCCACAGCTCCTTGGGCCGCTATGGCTGTATCCCTAAACTGACTGTGCATGCCCCACCCGACAGAAAGGGACCCTCCATATCCTCTGAGTCCACTTTGGCTGCTGGTCCCTGACCCGTAACCCACCAGGACCCCGGGCTGGTTTGGCGGCCTATGCTCTGCAGATGGAAGGCACAGGGATTTGTAGGGAACCCTCCACTGGTGCTGCAGGCTTCCTCCTTCTGACCCCCTCCCTGTCACCCTGGCCACCTCCCCCCACTCGTCCCTTCCCCATGCCCTGCAGACCTCCAGATCAGAGACCCCGTTGCCCCATTCTGTCCCTGCAATCCACCATGGGACTTTAGATTCTCCAGGGAGGTAAGGTTCCGTCCGTCCATCTGTCTGGTCTCCACAGATTGGTACCAGGCTGGAGACCCTGCCTTTGGGCCCACAAGGACTCCGCTGTCACCCCCACCAGTGAAGTTAGGGTGAAGACATCCCCCCGTTTCCTGGTGGGACCGTGTCCAACTCGGTGTCAGAAAGAATCCAGGGGACCCTTGGGTTTCAATGGGATCATACCCTAGTCACACCTCCCAACAGGGGAGTCCGTCAGTCAGTTTCACGGGACCCCCCTTTGGGTCGTCTCATTTGTAATTTTCAGACCCTTTACCCCCAAATTGTCCTGAAATTCAAACACTTCATCGAGCTCAGCACTTAAGTTGGGCCACGATGTATCCTAGATAATCTGCATAAAGGGCCCCTATATGGAGCCTTTGATCAAGAAATTCTACAAAAATTTTAAAAACTTGGTTTTGGCAGATGGTGCGAGGTCCTAGGCCTCACTGTATTCCTCAAAGGCCTCATGATACAAACCTTGTCCCACTTTGCAATTAATTCTTTAGGGACTCACAGTTTTCTTTCTCATTTACAGTCCCAGAAATAGCAGATGAACC